GCTACTTGGAAGGCTGAGGCAGAGGGATCGCCGGAGCCCAGCAGGTCGAGGCTGCGGTGGCCGGCAGCGGCCACTACACTCCAGTCTGGGCGACAGAATGAGACTCCAACTCAAAAAAAGAAAGTCTTCTAAGATCCTTGGGAGCTGTGCCTCTGGGCACTGGGATCTTTGGGCCCTAGTGAGAGATGGAGGTCAGCAGGCATGCCTGTACTCAGCAGCCCCTTCCACTTGTGGCCGTCACCACCCCCTACCCCCAAACCCGGGAGCTCAGAGCAACCAGCCTATCCTAGCCAGTGAGGACACCATCTTCTGGGCCCTAGTGGAGGTGCGCTTATTGCTGGGCAGAAAGAAGCACTGCCTTTGGTGGTACAGAGAAAGTTCTGGCAGCACTGGGGGAGGTTTGTCTCCAGGCTCTGTGCTGAGGGCTTCCAGAAGGAACCAACTGCTCAGCCCCAGGCCTTCACGTGACTCCATGGTCAGCTTCTTCTGCAGACCCTTCTGCCCTTCAGAAAGGCTTATGGGCCATTGCCTTGCTAAGCTTTGGTGTGTCCACGTGGCTCTTTGAGCCATGACTGCCATGTGTCCTAATTTTGGCCCCCTCTCCTACCTGGGAGAAGTGAATCTCCGCGCTCTTCTTTCTCTCTCTAACTTATTTTCTAAATAAACTATATTTTCCAATCTAACTTTTGTGCAGTTCTTTGCATCTTTCACATGGCACCAGATTGCATCAGACACCCACACCCTGGCAGGACTGACCGGCCATTCTGGAGGCCCCCCTGAGAGTGTGACCCAACATGTTGGAAGTCCCACCTTGATTTGCCACTCTCTCTCTCTTCTCTTTCCCAGCCCAAGTCTCTCTGTGGAGAGAGACAAGGTGCTTGGCTCTTTTTTCTCGATTCACTTTTAACCTTCACCACCTGCGATGAGCTACATCAAACGGATCGCTCCCTGTCCTCCCAGCCTTGTCCGTTCTGAAACAACATCTTCACTGGCGAGTCCAAGTGTTACCCTATCCCCATTAGAAGGTTGGAAAGCAAGCCCAAGGAGGCTGTCTCACTGCCTGTGTATAAATAGCCGTGCTGCTGCCTGCACAAAAGTATCCTGGCTACTGCTTGTGTCTTTATTTTTTTTTTTTAGAAAGCGGGATTTATTGAGAGGAGAGAAAAGCTTCCGAAGGGAGAGGGTTGTTCCAGCTTATGTCTTTTTTACTGTCCTCTTCAGAACTGCTTTCAAGACCAAGCTCTCAGTCCATGCACTACCCTATTCCTTGCTAGGAAGTCTATGAATGTGACCTGAGAGGACACTGTCCCCCTTTTGGCAGCTTTGCTGGGGTCTAGGACCCTCTACAGAATCTTGGTGCCCAGTCTCTGAACACATGTTGGAGGTGTCTTGCTGCTGGGTAGAAGCCCTGCCTCCGGTGGTACAGGGAGCTGAGGAGATGGCCTGCTCTTCTGATTCTCACATTCCCAGAAAAGGAAAAGAAAAAGAAAAGAAAGGCTTACGGGGAGCCCACGGGTGTAGCCCCCAGAGGACGAAGGAGGAAGAAACCCGAGATCTGGTTCCTGCTGTCCCACACACGGAGCAGCTAAGACCAGGGTGCCTGGGTCACGGGAGACCAGGAGGGCCCTGTAGTGCCAGACTCCCAAAGACCCCCAAAGGGAAGGCACTACATCTGAGAGGCCAAAGAAGTGACCCAGGCACAACAGACGAGAGGTGGGCTTTACTGAGAACTTACGTACTCAGGAAGGTGGCCGTTGGACAGCGAAAATCCACCCTGATGGTAAAAAGCCCACAGGTGATACAGCATGTCACAGAGTGTGGGTGTGGGGTTCAGCATGGAAAGGGTGGGGTCGCTGGTGCCCAGACATAGTGTGAGAAGGTACGCATACACGCATCATGTGTATGCAGATGGCTGCACTTCTCTCCAGGGTGGGGTTTTTAATATGATAATGAAGTAAAAGTGGACTCAAGGAAACCTAAGGTTATGAGCATTCAGCTGCGGGAGGGGTGGGGTGGAGGGGTGACTGCCTCAGGGAAGACACTCACTATGCAGATGCGGTCAGCTGGCAGAGGACGGTCACGCATGGCCTCCGCAATACCTGCATGCCCAGGCCGGGGCCTGTGGGAAGGCCGTGTCCCAGACTGGCTACCCTCAAGACCTTCCCCGGCTCCAACCCCCTGCTTGGGGCCTTACCCAGGGTGTGCTTATGCTGTCACTGAGTGTGTGTCACTTTGCAGACCCTCATGCCCACTCTCCTGTGTGACTGGCAGTCACTTGTCCTTCAGGGGCACACAGCCTGGGACTGGGCACCATGACTCTTTTGGTGTGAGACTTGAAGAGACTTCAGAGATGAGGCCAGTGCCACAGGCCAGGGAAGGGGCCAGACCCGGGGCCCAGACAACCTCCCGTGACTGCAGACCCTGCCCGCCCAGAGTCCTGACTCTGCCAGGCGTCAATGATTAACACCTTGGGCACTGCTGACGTGGGCCCTGGCCTCTCCCAGGGCCGGTGAGAGGGGACCTGTGGCTTCGAGGCCGAGCTGTTTGGATTGTCGCTGTTGTAACAGTTTCTGCGTTTGGGGGTAAACAGTTGCTGCAGGGCACAGCCTGCACGTCAGAGCCCTGCCAAAGTTCAGGGAGGGTAGAGGCAGTGGCAGCGGGGACACCCCGTGACCCATCCCTCCTTTTGATTCAGGGAAGATATCACAGGTCAAGGGGCATTGTGAATCCCAAAACAGCCAGTAACCCTAAGCCTAAGGCCACGTCCATGCAGCCAAGGAGTCCAAGGGCCTCCTGTGTCAAACTGGGGCCCCTACCTGCCTGCCACCCTGCCCCAAAGTCCCTCCTGAGCCCGGCTCCTGACCAAGGAGGACAGAGCTGAGGATACATCCCTGCCCGTGGGTCACAGTTGGTGCCAGCAGCCAAACTTCGTCGGCCAGGGTGATGCCCATGGCTTCTTGGGCACTGCAGTGTGGCATCTGGACCCTCTTCTGAAACGTGGTTTCACACATGCAGGATTCCGGGGACCCTGCCATCCTAGGGAGCCGACCCTCCTTCCAAGTAAACTCACTTTGCAGGGAGACTAGACGTTTCTGGGCAACCAGTAAACTCAGTTATCTTCCTGGATGGGCCACGGAAGAGGCCCCAGGTAGAACGCGGCAGTGGCTCATGCCTGTAATTCCAGCACTTTGGAAGCTGAGGTGGGAAGATTGCCTGAGCCCATGGGTTAGAGACCATCCTGGGCAACATGGTGAGACCTCATCTCTACAATAAATAAAAAAATTAGCTGGGCATGGTGGCGTGTGCTTGTAGTTCCAGCTACTTGGAAGGCTGAGGTGGAAAGATTGCCTTAAGCCCAACTGGTCAAGGTTGCGGTAGCCGTGTGCATGCCACTGGACTTCAGCCTGGGCGAAGTGAGACTCTGACTCAAAACAAACAAACAAACAAAAAAAACCACAACAAATCACACATTTTAGAAAGCCAGGAAAATAGTTTTGTTAGTGAATTTCCTGACCTTCCTCCCTAGCTTATCCCCACTGTTTTTTGTGGGCACATTTTCTATGTTTTCCTCGTGGTGACATGTTGGCAGAATTTTGCACACAGAATGGGGTATGAGGAGAATTTCGTTTCTTCTTTGGGCTGGTGTCGCCTGTGCTACCCCCCCCCCCCAGGCAGGGACAGCAGGGGCTGTATCCTCATCTGACTGGGCTGCTTCCTACCTCCCCGCCTCATGGAACATCCCTGGAGGCTGTTTGTCCCACAGGAGTCAGCAGGCTTAAAACGACAGGAATTTACTCAGTTCTGGAGGCCAGTGCCTAGGTCTGTTTCACTGGGCTGGACCGAGATGTCCCAGGGCTGTGCTCCCTCCTCAGGCTCTGGGGAGGAGCTTTCCTTGCCTCTTCCACCGTTTGGTGGCTGCTGTGTTCCGTGACTCGTGGCTGTATCACTCGAGTTTTCCAGTCCAGCCACTCTGAATGTCTCTGCCACCCTGTCACACGGTCTTCTCTGTGCATCTAATGCCCTCACCCGGCCTCCCTCATCTAAGGACACACGAGATGATGGCATTTAGGGCCCACCCAGATAATCCAGAGTCATTTCCCCATCTCAGAATCCTTAACATGATCACCTCTGCAAAGATTTGACCATATAAGGCAGCATCCACAGCCCCTGGGATTGGGACATGGGCATCTTTGGGGGCCTGTTTTTCAGCCCACCGCACATACAACAGGGTGGGGATACTTGGCCGCCAGCGCTGGGTGACCCTGGTAGCTTCTGAAACCCCTGAATGCCCAGGGTCTGAAGTGTGGTCGGTCTTGAGGCACACAGGGCTGGCAGGTCCAGACCTCCGTGGAGGCAGATCCGTGTTCTGGTGGCACCTCAGCATCTCCGAGGTCAGACGCACAGGCAAGCATGCCGGAATTTGGGTTCCCTGTCTGGGAACTGGGCCCCGGTGGCGTGGTGCTTTCACAAGCAGCTGCACTCAACCAACTACGGTGTCCGCTCCTCCCACTGACATCCGTGAGGCTCTGGGGGGCTAGGGGCAAGGCCTGGGGAGGGGCGGAACGTGCCACAAACCTCCACAGGCCGGTGCCAGCGGGGCCGGGGAATGAGTGTGTGGAGCTGTGGTGGGTGACGATGGGGAGTGAGGGACTCTCCTCTGGTGGGATGGGGGCGGTGTTTGAATTCGCAGAGTTTGGGGTTAATTTGTTTTGCGGCAGCAGGAAGTGAAGAGAGAAGAGCCAGACGCAGCCTGGGAGTTGCTGCCTGGGAGTTGCAGGCGGGCGGGAGTCGCTGCAGCGGAGGATGGGCCGGGAGGAACATGGGGGCTTGCTGGGTCCTGGAGGGGTGGGCCGAGGGCTGAAGGCTTTGTGCTGCGTGGCCGACCCTGAGGAAATGGGTGGTGTGGGCAGGTTTCCATTTAGTGGCAAGAACAGAAGGGTGAGGGGTCACGCTGTAATAGTGAGGTTGGAGTGGGGGAAGGATGGACTGAGGAAGGGGCGATGGGGGCTGTGCGGGAGCCTGGCTCAAGCATCCTCACGGGTGAGACCAGCAGACCTGGGAGCTCCTCACCCATGGCTTTCTGTGGCTCCCGTGGCCAGCTAGCCACACCTCCTTGCTGGAGAGAGTAACGAACAGTAATTTACAAAGGAGGAAGCGGATCTGAGACGGGGGCTTGGAGGTGGGCTCTGGGTGGAGGCTCACACAAGCTGACCCCCCGGCCTGTGGTCCTCTGTGTGGACCCAGAGATGGAGGCTCCTCCTCTCTCCACTGCCCGCCCTCAAACCCTGTGTGGGCAGGGGAATCATAGACCCCAGAGACGTCCACGTCCTCGTCCCAGAACCTGTGAGTGTGTGGCCTCACATGGCAAAGGAACTCTGCAGAGGAGATTAAAGTTGCTGCCTCTGAGATGGAGGTGACCCTGGGTTATCTGGATGGGCCCAGTGCATGAGAGGCAACCCCCCAAAATCTGGAATTATCTTTTGGAGGGCAGGTCTCCTTGTAGTACAGGCTTCCCCTGCTAGGTAAGTGTTCTAGGAACCCATCGGCATCAGTGGACCAGCTGGTATCACTGTGAGAGGCTGTGCTCGGCTTCAGGGGATTATTTTTGGGGGAAGTCTTTCAAAACGTATGTTTGCCCATTTCATGATGGGTGATCTACGAGTGCACCTGCCCACACTGTGCGGCGTGTTCAGCAGCTATTGACCCAAAACAGCATGCCCCCAGTCCCCACCTTCCCTACTCATCTGATCTCTCCCTGAGCAACTTTTTTTTTTGTTTCCCTGGATAAAAAAAGTCCTCAAAGGGAAACATTTTGCAGATGTGGATGGAAGAAGTGAAACAAAAAAATGGCAGAAGCACTCAAAGGCATCCAAGTTGATGAGCTCAAAAACTGTTTTGAGCAGTGGAAAAGTATCTTGATGGGTGTATTGCATCAAACGGAGAGTACTTTGGAGGTGACTGACGTTTAAACATGTAAGAATAAATACACAACTTTTTTTTTTTTTTGAGTTGGAGTCTCACTCCGTTACCCAGGCTGGAGTGCAGTGGCACACTCACGACCACCCCAGTGTCAACCTGCTGGACTCTGGCAATCCTTCCGCCTTAGCCTTCCAAGTAGCTGGAACTACAGGCGTGGGCTACCACACCCGGCTAATTTTGAAATTTTATTTTATTGTAGAGATGAGGTCTCTCCAAGTTGCCTGGGCTGGCTTTGAACCCACGGTTCAGACAATCCACTCGCCTTGGCCTCCCAAAGTGCTGGGATTACAGGCTGAGCTCCTGAGCCTGGCCATACAACTTTTTTTTGAGTTGGAATCTCACTCTGTCGCCCAGACTGGAGTGCAATGGCATGCTCCTGGCCACCGCAGCCTCGACCTGCTGGGCTCCCGTGATCCTTCTGTCTTAGCCTTCCAAGTAGCTGGAACTATAGGTTTGTGCTACTACGCCCGGCTAAATTTTTTTGATTTATTGTAGAGACGAGGTCTCACCAAGTTGCCCGGGTGGGTCTCGAACCTGCGGGCTCAGGCAAGGCACTTGCCTTGGCCTTCCAAAGTGCTGAAATTACAGGCTGAGACCCCAAACCCGGCCACACGACTTTTTAACGAGTCAATTCACAAGTGCTTACGAGTGGAGAACTTTCTTGGCTGGCTGCAGAAGAGGAAGCCTGAAACATGCAGCAGAGAGAGGTGGGCTTTGAAGATGAAGGGCCACAGGCCTCCAGAAGCTGAGAATGACCCCCCCACCCCACTGACAGAGGAAGCAGGGACCCCACCGGAACACCGCACAGAGTTGGATTCTGCCGACCTCATGGGAGCCTGCAGTGAGGAGTGCAGCCCTGCTGACACCCGAGCAGGGCTTTCCCCTTGCGGAACCCGGAGATCGCGAGGGATGCTGTTCTCAGCCACTGAACTGGGGTGGTGTGTTACAAAGCTCAGGAAATGGATCCAGGGGTGAAGGCCGCGACGAGTCCATGCCAGGCTGCTTCTCTCACAGGGACCCTGTTCTCACTGCTCTGCCCCGATGCCCAGGCATGTGGGAGATGCTCAACAGAACCATGGTGAGGGGCAAATGTGCCCAGAGAGGTCGGCTGACCTGCCCAAGGTCACAGAGCCAGCAGGGAGCAGCGTGGGGGCAGAAGCCAGAACCTGGATCCAGCTTTTTCTGGGATCCTTTGCTGAGGGTTGTTTGTTTTTCAGGAAACACACCTGTGACCTTTCAGGGTTTCCTTAGGATGGGGCACCACTTCTGCAGATTGCCTCCTTAGATGTGTGCTTCCGAGATGCAGAGGCTGCAGGCAGGTGGCAGAACTGTGGGGGATGGGGCAACCTGTCTGGGCAGCTGCTGTGTGCCAGGCCCTCTGGTTCTGCTGGGGCCGTAGACCTGGGCTGGACCCTGGGTGAATCATGCACAGGTCATGTCCTCTGGGAGCTTGGGGGTCAGTGAAGGAGCATGAGGGAACAGCATTATGGCCTGGGCATCTGGGAGGGCTTCCTGGAGGTGGAAGGTTTCCTGGAGGTGGCCCCAAGTTGAAGCACCTGCCAGGTGAAAAGTGAGGGCAGCGTAGAAGGACTTTCAGGCAGAGCCAGCAGTGCATCTGTGAGTGTTCTAGGGGGTGGATGCATGTGGCTGAGTTGTGAGACAAGCTGGAGATGGCCAGGGCCCCTGCGAACCTGGGTCAGGAGGGTTAACTTATTTGAAGATGGGGTGCAAGCAGAGACAGGCCCTGGGACAAGTGGCCGTAGACCTGGGCAGAGCTCCTGGGGGCATTTGGGTGTAGAACGAGTGGCCGACTTTGGCTCCAAGGCAGGAAGCCATGACTTCCCATCACAGGACAGCTGCCCCTCCTCCCAGGGGTCTCAGCGGCAGCTGTAGGCTTTCCTTCTGGCCTCCGGCCTCCATAAGGGCTGGAGCTCCACCTGGCCAGCCTGGTCCTGCAGCCCTGCCCCTGCCGGGGTTTGGCCCCCATCGAGGGAGGAAGGGGTGAGGCTGCCAGCTCTGACCCTGCACTCCACCTGGACTCTTCTGCAGTGCTTGTCCCCAGCAGGGGTCTGGCTGCTGTCCTGAGGACGCTGCCCATGTTTCATGACGAGGAGCACGCCCGGGACTGCGGTCTGCCTGAGGACGTCCTGGTGCTGCCGTGAGTGTGGGCTCCTCTGGGGTCCTGGGCAGGGGATGACCCTGCTGTCTGGAGTGGGGGTGGGGGCACAGGTCCTGAGACTGCACATTGCCGGCCCAGCCCACGAGAGCCACGTGCATTAGCCTGTGTCTAACATCACTCACTTTCCCGGGGCTTTAGGAGTGACCCACAGTCCACAAGAGCCTGAGCCTCACAGGGCCCAGGAAGAGGGCAAGGCCTGCGGCTGCACACGTGCCTGCTTCTCTTTCCCCCCCATCCTCTTCCCCGGCCCCCTGAGCCCGGGCTGGCTCAGCAAGGCTGATGAGGGTACCCAGGTCTAGGGACTGTGCCCATCACGAGCGGCCAGCTGCCCAGGTGGCTTACCTCCCACCAGCGTGCAGTTTCCTCCATTTCTTGGGTCTATCCCTGGTGCCCCTCACAGCTGGGGACTGAGCTGGGAGTCGCCCTTGTGGTGGCCGGCCTCCCTGCAAGCGAGCCTCCTTCCAGAGGTGTCCCCTGGCTGGTCATGGGCTGGTCTCAGCCTCCCTCTCAGAACTGCGAAGATGGCTCTGCTCTGGGACAGCCTGTCCTGGCCCACATCCTCACTCTTCTTGGGAACCCAAATCCTAGTCCTTGGGGACTCCAGGTGGAAAGGAGGCCGGGCCCTGTACCCGAGGTGCTGAGAACTTGCTACATTCAGAGTCCAGGATAGACGGCCACTAGTGCAGGGACCCTAGCGGGGCCAGAGGGAAGCAGAGCGGCTCAGGGGGCTTCGGAGCAAGGGGGGGCAGAGTGGGAGTCTGCCGTTCTGCCTCCTGCAGCCCCGCCAGCCCCGGCCAGAGGGTCATCTACAGGGTGCTGGAGTGCCAGCCCCTCTTCGACTCCAGCGACATGACCATCACTGAGTGGGTTCAGATCGCCCAGACCATAGAGGTAGCAGGGCTGTGGGGTGTGGGCGGGGCCGGAGGGCGGGCCTGGAGACTGTGGGCGGGGCTGTGGCACATGGGCGGGGCTGGAGGGCGGGACTGGAGGGCATGGGCGGGGCTGGGGTGTGGGCGGGGCTTGGGGTGGGGCTAATGGGTGTGGGCGTGACTGGGAAATATGGGCGGGGCTGGGAGGTATGGGCGGGACTGGAAGGCAGGGTTGGGGAGCCAGGGCGGGGCTGGGGGCTGGGTGGTGCGGCCTGCAAAAACACTCAGCAGGTCAGGAGCCACCAGGTCTGCAGTGGAGCAGCCATGCCCAGCCTAAGACCCGGGAACATTTCACCTCAGGGGCAAGGCTGTGAGGCCTTTTCCTCCATGCAAGCAGAGGGTGGGCACTGAGGGCCACGTCCATTCTATGATGAGGAAACAGTGTGGACAGCCCTCTTGGTTTGTTCACGCAATTGGCTTGTCCCAGTTAGTTTCGGGGGCGTGGTGTGCAGTGCTACCTCAAGGTTGACAAGCTCCACGTGCCTGGTCCGTGTCCCTCTGACCATCCCCCTCTGCCAATCCCCTCCCCAGTTGTGGTCATCGTGGATTTAGAACCACTGAACCCCTGGCAGGGTCTCTTGGTTTACAGCATCCGGTGCTCACCCTCAGCCAGAACCCCCTTCCCCCCAGCCACACCCTCCCTCTCACCCATCGGTTTTTCTTCTCTCTTCCCCCAATCCCCACCTTCACTGTGGTGCTCTCTATGACCCAGCTGCCTCCTCTGGGTGGGGGGACCTCCCACCCCCTCTAGTCCCCGTTCTCACCTCTTCTGCTAAGAGCCCCGTGCTCCCCTGAGTGGAATCACTTGAACTCCCCCTTCCTGGCAGCCAGTGGGGAGAGCAGTCCCACCTTGTCTCCTGCCTCAGGGGAGAACAGCTTCCTTGGCCTGCCCCCCACCCCAGCTGCCTGGGACAGTGGTGGTCCAGGGCAGGCTCCTCCCCCCGTTTGTGCCTGTCAGCGCCCGCGGAACCAGGCCTGACCCCTTTGCGGAGGCCCACGAGGGTGTCCTGCCATCCCACCACCCCACCACGTACAGCCTCACCGTGGCCACCTGGCCCAGCCTCCCTGCCGCAAGTGGACAGCAGAGGGCGCCCTGCCCTGCCGTGGCATCCTCGGCTCCTTGGCTGTTCCCGACTCACCCAGCTTGGTCTTTTGATGGGCCACCTGGGAAGGCCCGCTTGGGGAGGTCTGTGCTTGGTGTGGGGCCCCTGGCTCTTGGAACTCTGGCCCCTAGCAGCCACAGCCTGGGCCAGCAGCCCTGTGGGTGGCCAGAGGCCAGCCTCACTCCTGCCCATCTGTGCCTGCCTGTCTGCCCGGATGGGCTTCCATGCAGCCTACCAGATCGCCTGTTGCTCTAGGAAGCGACTGTGCCTTGACCCCTCAGGTGTCCCGCTGCCCATCCATTCTGTCTATGCCTGACCCCCCACTGGACGGCGAGGTTCCTCACTTCCACTGCGCCCTGCTGTCCCTGAGGCGCGGACCTCACTGAGAGACTCTCCAGAGCATCGGCTGAGTTCCGGCATGGCCCCTTGCTGGGCATGGCCTGTCTGGGGTGGCTGGGGGGGACCATTCCTGTCCCCAGGGAGTGTCCAGAGGCTCTGGATGTCCCTAGTGTTATGGGCTCAGCCGAGTGGTCAGGGAAGTCGTCCTGGAGGGCGAGAGGAGCACAGGGGTCCTGAGACTCCAGGCCGGGGCTCGCCTTCCAGAGAGGGCCTTCCGGACCTGCAGGGCAGAGTCCTGCGGTGCCTTCCCAGGCCCTCCCTGTGCATCTGTGCCCTTTCCACCCGCCGGCTCCTGCCCTGACCACTTGCCCTCCCACAGAGACACTACGAGCAGTACCATGGCTTTGTGGTCATTCATGGCACCGACACCATGGCCTTCGCCGCCTCTGTGCTCTCTTTCGTGCTGGAAAACCTGCAGAAGACCGTCATCCTCACGGGTGCCCAGGTAACCCCCAGACGGGGGATCTGCAGGGCAAGTCAGTGCTGTTGGGGGCTGAGGTGGGACCCCCGCTTCTGGCTCCACCCACCCGTTCCCAAGGGTGCTCCTGCTGGGTCTGTGGGGCCAGGGTGCCAGCCCCGACCACCTGCGAACAGGGGCCGTGCCTTGCACAGCTGTGAGGCCCTGGGAGCACCCAGAGCCCAGCCCAGCTCACCCCCATCAGCACGAAGCTTCATTTCCGCCTACCCTCTACCATGGACCTCACGTCTGCCGCCCACTGTGCGGCCTAAGGCTCTGCATGGTAGTTGCTGTCAGAGCAGGTGCCCGAGAAGGCTCTAGTCATTCCCCCACCTTTGTCCCTCTTGTCAGTCCTCCCACTGTTATTCCCACTAGGCTGTCCTCAGGGAGCCTGGCTCCTGAGGCCCCTGTCTCTCCCTCACCCAGCACACATCCCCCGAGCAGAGGCCGTGGAATGTTCTGGAAAACTGCTGGACCCCCTGCAGGGCCCACTGGAGGCTGGTTTGGGGTCCCTGTTGCCTGCAGGTGGCTTCATAAGAGCAAAGCCCAGAAGCCGCAGGGGCAAGGTCTTGCATGGGAAACTGGTAACTGTGTCCCTCTGAACAGAACTTGGTGCAGCTCTAGGGACGCCCTCTTGCCAGATCTGCCAGTGCCATTCAGGGAGGTGGCTCAGCGTGCCCCGGCTGTCTACCCTGCCCATCTCCCCCGTCCCCCACAGGTTCTTCCGGTGCGATGGCCCCACTCAGAGAAGGCCTGGGCCTGCTGCACATACCTGCTGGCAGTGGAGCCTCCCGCTCTTGTCACCCTGGCACACGCCACCTCCCGTGTTGGGGCTTGTGTAGGATGGACAGGCTCAGGAGGACCTGCCTCTTCCCAGACCCTCCTGGGCTCCAGGGAAGTGGGACTCCTGCCGGCCTCTCCTGGCGACAAGGGGCATGCCGTGGGTGCTGTGGGACCCAGGAACGTTCACACGCATGTCCTGCTAACCCTCCCACTGGCCTGTGGTGAAGCTTTCTTATCCCTGTTATGCCCATGGAGAAACTGAGGCTCAGGCCAGGGGCTTACCTACAGCAGTGCACTGTAGGCTTCCCCAGGCCAGGACTTTTTCCCTAGGAATCCCTTTGCTGACCACTGCCCGCCAGCTCCTTCTGAGGGTCTTGGCCTCTGCACACCCCATGACAGGCCCACTTGTCTGCATCTCCTGGGACACACTGCTCAGTCGTCCTTGGGGTGCTGCCCCCATGGTAGACACAGGACAGGTCATCAAGGGACAGCTGGACTGTGCCCAGGCATAGCTTAGGAAGTTCTTTCCATCACAGCAGGCCCACCCTCTGTGTGGCCCACAGTTTTGCCGAGGTAGTGCAGCGCCCTTAGGGCCGGGGAGCTGGGCTGGGCCCCTAGGGGTCCTGTTCCTCCCAGTGTGGGGCCTGGCTGGCCCCCAGCTCGCAGCCTGGACACTCAGGCCTGCAGAGGGGGCAGGCGGGCAGGTCAAGTCCCCAGGCCCAGGCTGGCATCATTGGCAGGGACAGATGTTATTGGTGGCCTTGGACATGGCCTGGCACCCCGGCTCCTCAGAGTGGCCCTGTCCCCCCAAAACCCCCAACTCCATGCCGTTCCCCACAAGCCCCAGCCTGCCCTGGCCATTCTGTGTCCCAGACTCCCGAGGGGTTTGCCTGGAGACTGACTGGCCCTCCCAAGCTTCCTGGGTCTCAGTGCCGCTCCTGGTCTTCCCCAGGTGTCCATCCATGCCCTATGGAGCGATGGCCGCGAGAACCTGCTGGGAGCACTGCTTATGGCAGGCCAGTACGTGATCCCTGAGGTACTAGCTGCTGTGTGGCGGGGGCAGGGTTAGAGGGTCAGATGATGGGGGCCGGAGCCTGTGTGCTCCCAAGCAGAAGGAAACAGTCACCCCCAAACTCACTCCCTAGATGTCACTGTTAGCAACTTGTTGCGCTTTCTTCCAGATTTTGTATTCTGTGTGTTTATATTATAGACACGTATGTAAGTTTCCATGAAATGGGTTGCATCTAACACACACACACACACACACACACACACACACACACACACACACACACACACACATTTTTCTGAGTCAGGATCTCACTCTGTTGCCCAGACTGGAGTGTAATGGCACGGTCACAGCTCACTGCAGCCTTGAATTCCTGGGCTTGGGTGATCCTTCTACCTCAGTCTCTCGAGTAGCTGGGACTGCAAGTGCATGCCATCATGCCCAGCTAATTTTGTTTTTTGGTAGAGATGAAGTCTTGCTGTGTTGCCCAGGCTGGTCTGGAACTCCTGGGCTCAAGCAATCCTTCTGCCTTGGCCTTCCAAAGTGCAGGGATTATAGGTGTGAACCACTGTGACCAGCTAATTTAAAATATTTTTTTTTGTAGAGATGAAATCTTGCTATGTTGCCCAGACTGGTCTTGAACTCCTGGGCTCAAGCCAACATAGCTTTGAAGTTATTTTCTCCTCTCTCATGTGTTTCCCTGTGTCACGTGGCATCACAGCAAGATATTTACAAATGTTGCCTGTCACCTCACTCGGGCAGGGGCAGAAGTAGGAGTGTTTCTGTCTTCAGTGTCTTCCTCCGGGGCAGGCAGGCGCCACACCTGAGAAGGGGCTTGACCAAAGGCAGTGTTTTCTGTCCCCATTCCACTGCCCAGGTCACATCTGCTTCTCTCCAGGGGAACATATCTCGAGCAGCTCAGAGACTGGGGGGCAGAGACTGCCTCCCCCCACTTCTGAGCAGGGTCCTGCAGGGACTCGCCCTAGGGAGGGGTCCCTGGAGTCACCTCGCTCAGCACCTTGGGGCTGAACTCACCAGGGGGCCCTGAGAAGCAGGGGCGGAGAGGGAGGGGCATGTGAAGCCCTTCCTGCAGCCAGCCCCCTGCACGCCCTGTGCCCTAGTGTCCCAGACTCCTGTAGGCTTGGGTCTGCCCATGGGTGGGTGGCCAAGCAGGAGGGTGTCTGAGGGCAGCGGCCATCCGCGGGACCTGCTACTGGGAGGGTCTCACCTGTGGCAGGTAGGTGACAGTCCAGCCTCCCCTTGGGTCTGGGGGTGGGGAAGAAGGGGTCCAGGACAGGCCAGCCCTGGCCCTGAGCCATGCCCCTCCCATCCCGCAGGTCTGCCTGTTCTTCCAGAATCAGCTGTTTCGAGGCAATCGAACCACCAAGGTGGACGCACGGAGGTTCGCGGCTTTCTGCTCCCCCAACCTGCCACCTCTGGCCACCGTGGGTGCTGATATCACAAGTGAGCCTGCACCAGAGCCTCGTGGGGGCTGTTGCTGGGAGAGGCACCTGGGCTTCCACAGGGCGGGCGTTCCCTGAACCGGAGAGAGCATGGCTCGCGGTCCTGTCTTGCCCCTGCTCGGTTCTGCCCTGGTCAGAGGAGAAGCCGGCAGGCCACACACGGGGGGGAGGGAGGGGCTGTGTGGCTGCGGAACTGGGGGTCCCTGCAGGCTGGAGCTGGAGATTGGGAGGGGAAGTTTGAGGGATCTGCCGCTTGTGTGTCCCACCCTAGCCCCATGCCCAGGAACTCCTCTCAGTGACTGTCTGGCTCTGCCACACACACACCGCGGTGCTCCCTGGGACCTGGGAGTTTTAGGGGAATCTCTCTGTCCTCTGTGGCTGGAACCTACCCTGAATCCTGAGACTTTCCCCTGGGGAAGCCTGGCCTTGACCTTGCCTAGAGAGTGGTGCCCTGGCCTCCTGCAGGGCTCAGGGCAGCTCCCAGGGCCACTGTGTCTCCACCTGAAGGCCCCCTCCTAAGGCAGCCCTCCTTCCTGGACTCTGGGCTGTTCCTCAGCCTCTCCCCAGTCCCTGCCCCTCTAGGTTCATGGTGGGCATGGCCAGCCCTTCTGACTCCCCTGGCACCCAGCAACCCCTTCCTGGGGGCAGGCAGGAACATCTGCCCTCTTCTCCTGTGAGTGGGATTCTGAGGCCTTTTGGTCCCCGGCCCTGGTATTTCAGGGCCAGACCTGAGTCTCAACCATTTCTTACTGAGGGGGCATCCTGGGGCTGGTTTGTAGCCCAGGGCAACCTGGTTCCCTGTCCTCATCCCCCTGACTGCAGGGTCCTGTCCCTGGGGACCCGGTCGGAGGAGGCACTGGCCTTCCTTTGGGGGCGTTTTGGGGTTGTGATGCCTCGCCTGGGGCTGGGCTCCCCACGTGTGGTGGGGTGAGGCTGTCTTCCAGAACCAGAGCAGCTGTTCCCGTTTGACCGCATGATGGCAGCACCCCAGCCCTTTGGAAGGCAGGGATGCCCCCTCACCCATGCCACACCTCTGTCTGGGCCTGGGCTGTGGCAGAGCTGGTGGGCAGACCTGGGGTGTCCCTGGGGGCTGGGAGAGGCCAGCTCCTCAGGTCTTTTAAGAAGGACCAGATCCCTCCAGAGAGAGGGGTGGGCTGTGAGCAGCTGGGCCTTGACCTCCTGGGGCAGGGCTTTCTGGAAGTTTCCCTGGACTCAAGGTACTGGAGAGAGGGGGCCTGGGATGTGGCCGGCAGGGCAGGGACCTTCCTGGCACACCTGCCGAAGAGGGGGGCAGGAGGGGCTGGGGCTGTCCATGGAAATTCCAAAAGCCCCAGCACCTTTGGATCCCAAGGCAGGAGTCCAGGCTGCCCCTCAGCCCTTCAGCCAGACAGAACAGGAAGAAACCACAGAAGTCCTGCTTCCACAGGTGGGAAACTGAGGCAGAGAAGGGCAGGGTCACACAGGGAGGTGTTGACTCAGCCTGAACCTTGACTATAATTCTGAGGCTGTCACCCTGCAACTCTCTACCCCTGCTGTTCACTCAAGAACCTTCCAGGGAGTGGACAGCCCAAGACACCTCCGTGTGTCAGTAGCACACCTGGTCTCAGGGGCCAGGCAGGGGTCCACAGAGGGCTGGAATCAGTCTGGAAGGCATTTTGGAGGAGGTGGCCCAGGAGCTGGTGCTGTGGTGCCCTGTCTTGCCTGCCAGGGTTGGGTGGTGGCCCTCGGCCCCTCCCACCCAGGAAGAAGGAGCAGCGTGGTGGTGTGGGCGGCCGCCCCGAAGGTCTGGCTCCCCTGTGGAGACTGAGTCACACCTTATCTGGGGCTCGGGAGTGGAACTTCTGCCAGTGGGTGGAACCCACCCCCTGCAGGGCACAGAGGATTTCACTCTGGATTCTAGGGACTCTGCCAGTGCCATGCACCAAGTCTGGCCAGGCCAAGTAATGCAGGACATGCTGAGTTCGGGCAGCTCCCGGGCACAGTGCTGAGGCTGACCTTGAGGGAGAGGCTGCCCCTGCCCCTGGCCCATGGTCCCGGAGTGCGTTTCCCATGTGTGTGGGTGTGTGGGAACCCGAGGTCTTGCCTGCCCTGCTGATGTCAGGCTGCCAGGCCGGTTCTGGCACAGGTTTTGAGAAACTCCACACCCTGCCCAGGGTGTGGCTGCTAGACCCCTAGGGAGGGAGCCTCAGGGGCTGAGAGAGGCCCAGGTTGGGCAGCTACCCTTCCATAGTCAGCTGGGAACACTGGGAGTTTTACTTATCCTCTGGGAAGGTGTGGGACTGGGCTGGCCACGGAGTCACAGTGGGCTGGGTACACAGGAGGCCGCTGGGACAGTCTGCTGGGTGCCCAGGCAGGAGTGGTGGGGCCCTGCTGTCCTGTGTGTCCGAGGCACATGCCATCCACATTGGGCCCCCAGGAAATCCATGTTCTCACCCTCAGCCCCTCCTGCCCCTCACCTCTGTGCTAAGCCCTGGCCCACCCTACAGAAGGCGGGGAAGGGGACACTGCTACCTGACTCTGGGACCTCACACCAGTTACTCATCGTCTCTGGGCCTTACACCAGGTCACCCCATGCAGGGTCTCAGTGCCTTCCTCTGTGCACTGGGAGAAGCCACCTCTCTCCCAGACATGCCAGAGTGCCTGGGCTCGGCCATGTTGGGCTTTGGGCCACAGATGCCACACTGCAGCTCCGTGCTGGGCTTCTGATCTGTGGAACAAGGGGGCCACGGTCCCTTTTGCCGGGGCTGTTCAGGAACTGAGTGAGGGCCTTGCCTGTCACGGTGCCACCATCCCTCCTCTCTCCCTGCCTCTGGGTGTGGGGACAGCCATTCCCCTGCCCTCCAACAGACTCGGGCAGGAAGGACCCAGGGTTCCAAGGAGTTGCCTCCACAGACCTCAGGAGGTGAGAGGCTGACCGCAGGCCCCTTTGTCTCTGTGTAGTGTCCCTCTGCGGCCGTAACTCTTTGGTGGTGGCAGCAGCCTGCCCCCCCAACACCTTATCTGCTTGCCCAGCTGAGACACATGTCCCTCAGTTGAAGGACAGCTTGTGCTGCCACTGCGTGGGAGCTGATTGGTGCTGCGACCTCTGGTGGAGGTGGGAGCCTTGCCCCCTCCCTCTTCTCCCCCAGGGCCCCCACACTTCCTACCCCCTTCAGCTCGACTCCAGTGTCAGAAATGTCCTTCTGGAAATGACAGTGGTAGAAGTAGCAAGGGTAGAAGTAGCAGGAGACACTTGGGCTTACATCCACAGGGAGCTGTTGCAGGGGGTGGGAGGCAGGGCTGGGAGGAGGAACCCTACCAGGTCCTGGGCCTTGGTTCTCGTCTGTGTTCCCCCTCTCCGGGCCTCGGTTTCCCTGGACTGCAGGGTGCTTGCTGCCTGGACCGACTCTGATGTTGTGCACTGCGGTGGTGACGTTGTGCACAGGCTGTCCTATGTGGAGGGTCCGAGGGAAGGGACTCTTCCCTCGAGGCTGGCCCCTGCTGGTTGAGAGGCCAGGCTTGTGGTGTCAGTCCCCTGTCCCCATCCATGGAGGCGGGGAGGCCAGGAGACCCCTGGGGGTTTGGGTACTGGAGAGCAGCAGCCTTCAGACCATGGGTGGCCCCTGGTGAACTTCTCGTGTGCTGCATTCAAGGGGCATCATCTCAGATGTCTGCCCCCTCCACTCTCCAGAGCCTGCAGTGCCACTATCATGCACCCTGGGCATGGGGAGGGGTGATGGGCACAGGTGAGGTCTCTAGGATTTGAGGGTGAATTAGAGGGAGGCTTTCTTTCTCCAGAGGTGAGGGGTCCAGAAGACTCATTCATTCCTTCACTCACTGACTCGATGGGCAGTGGCACTGTAGGTGTCTAGCAGGGGACAGACGTGACTGGCTGGTCAGAAGATGCTGCCTGGCCTCTCTTGGGACCTAGTGCAGCGATAGCTTGGGGTCCCCACCTGGGCACACCTGAGGCCTTCAAGCCTTCACCCTGCCCTGTACACACTCCATGCAGCCCCCAGGACCCAGCCAGACCTCTGTCTCTATGGGGTCCTCCTCACCTAGCCAGCCCAGCTTCCCCCGGGGCCTGTCACCCTAGCCAGTGTGTCACCCACTGCTCGGCCTCAGTCTCCCTCCTGTACCTTGAGTGCCTTCTCCCCGGCCCTGTGTGTGCTCAGGGCTTGGCCCGGGCCAGCATGAGCCTCTGGGAGGGGAGGCAGGGCAGGAGGCTGAGGGAGGCGGCCTGCTTAAAAGGCTGGAGGGCCGGGTTGGGGTCCCTCTGACGTGTCATCATCTCAGGCTTTGACATTACATCAGAGGTCACTCTGGCCAAACTGGCAAATGTGCTGGGCCGGCCAGGACTGAACCTGGATGCTCAGCCTTTCCCTGTCATCCTCACAGTCAACAGACAGCTGGTGCGGAAGGTTGGCGGGCAGGAGGGGCTGGTGGTGCACAGCGACATGGAGCGCGACGTGGGCCTGCTGCGTCTCTACCCTGGGATCCCCGCTGCACTGGTAGGCATCACCTAACTACCCTGACCCTGCAGCACTGCGTGCCCCTGTGTTCTCCCCAGTGCCCTACCTGACTGGCGTAGACCCCACATGGAATTAGGGCGTCCACAGTGTGGCCCTGTTGGCAGCACTTCTGCTTCTGACCCCCAGGCCTGTCCCAAGCTCAGGCCCAGAGAACACCCCCCGAGGCTGCCCCTGGCTTGCGTGAAGGGCCCTGGGATGTGTTCCTCCCCTACTGTCGGAACCCTGTGGCCTCATTTGCGACACGGCTTGTCTGTGTGACTCTGGTGGACATAGTGCTGTGTCCCAGCAGTCCTCCGGGGCCAACGGGGAGTGGTCCCAGGACTCCTGTCACTGCTTTCGGGCCACCCTCCATCTGCTTCCTGCCATCAGCCCCTCAGCCACCAGCTGTCGGTGGGTGGCTGCCTCTGTCCTGCTTCTCTGACGAGGCTCAAGGCCCTGTCCTCTGTCGCCTGGGTGGAGGACGACAGCCTCTCGGGGTGTGGGCTCCTCATGTGTTTCTGCGGCAGCGTCCCTTCCCCACAGGCTGATCACTCAGAGCACCCCCTGCCATGGGTAGAGCTGCCCGGCTGCTGCCCTTCCAGCTCCCCTGATGGGTCTCCACGGTGTCCTGTCATGCTACATCAGGCATCAAGCCCTGCAGATGGGGCATCCTGCTGGAGAGCATGGTGGAAACAGCCCACAGCCCTAAGTGTGCCCCTGTGTCCTGCGCAGCCTTGGGCAGGAGAGGTGCCCACAGCATCTGGCTTGGGGCCCCTCCCCTCCGGACGGCAGTGGAAGGCACAGGGCAAGCCTGGGTGGTTCCGACTTTGGAGCAGGAAACTGAGGCCCTCCTCTTCCGGCACTCCCCCTACCCCACTCCCCTGTAGGTCCGGGCCTTCCTGCAGCCTCCCCTGAAAGGTGTGGTCCTGGAGACCTTCGGCTCAGGGAACGGGCCCACCAAGCCCGACCTGCTGCAGGAGTTTCGGGCAGCCGCTGAGCGCGGCCTGGTCATCATCAACTGCACCCACTGCCTGCAGGGATCTGTGACCTTGGACTACGCAGCTGGCATGGTAAGGGTGGGGAAACCGAGGCTGGGAGAAGGTGACGGCCCAGGGGTACAGAAGGAGCCAGGCTCTGACTTGTACCCCACTCGCTGGGGGGTGGGTGGGAGAGACGTTCTGAGGGGAGTGGGGTTACCCCAGGCTGGACCCCCGGTTAGCTGCCCTTTCCTGCCCGTGCGCCTTGTCTTTGCAGGCCATGGCGGAGGCCGGCATCATCTCAGGCTTCGACATGACATCAGAGGCTGCCCTGGCCAAACTGGCGTACGTGCTGGGCCGGCCAGGACTGAGCCTGGACGCTAGGAAGGAGGTGCGTGTGCTGCTCCGGCCATGGGCAGCACTCACGTGTGCACACCTGGAGTGACCAGGAGAAGTCGGGGGCCCAGTCCAGTGCCTTGATGGGAAGAGGAGGGATGTGGGGCTCCCCATGGGGCGAGGGGAAGGCTGGATCTGGGGCCCAGGCTCCCCCCCAACCCTTCTCCAACCCCAAGCCCAGGCCCACCATGCGGCACCTTCTGGGAGAGACTTGGGTCCCGGCGCCAGGCGAGGTTCCCCCAGCTGTCCTCAGGACACCCTCCTCTGCTTCCAGCCTTCCCACGGTGGCTCAAACACAGCAGTCCCAGGCCTTAAGGCTGCCAGCCCCTGGGGCTGGGCAGAGGCTATTGGGGTCTCTGGAGACCCTGAGCTGGTGGGGCTGGAGAGCAAGTTTGGCCTTGTGCGGGGTCCCGGCTGCCATCACATACTCCAGCCTGAGGAATGGTACACACAAGCCACGTTCCAGGCAGGCCCTTACTCCATGCCTAGGGGAGCCTGGCCCCTCAAAGCTGGTCGGGGCTGCTCCTCTGGCCCTGGCAGAACCTATGCCCTCAGTGTTCTCTTCCCCAGCTGCTGGCCAAGGACCTTCGGGGGGAGATGACGCCACCTGTGGTGGCCGAGCACCGGCCCTCGCTGCAGGACAGCATGCTGGGACGTGGGGTCACAGGGCTCCTCAGTCTGAGTGGCAGTCAGGTAATGGCAGTGCAGATGGGTGGTGCGGGGGCCTGCATGGCAGGCTGGGGCCACGCACCCCCTCTGTCCTCCTGGGACACACAGGTGTGAGGCCCTGCCAGCCTAATAAGCTGAAAATAGCCAGGTGCGGCCTGGGTTCCAGGCCCGGGAGGAAGGCTTGGGGTCCACAGCGCAAGGACATATAGGATCCCTGGGACAGTGGCGGGAAGGGCCAGAGTGACGTTGTGGAATCTTGTCGGCGTGAAGATGGTGGGCACGCAGTGGGCCGCTGCTTTCTGATGGAGCACTGTCCTTAGTCCAGGATGCCAGAGGGTGAAGGGAGGAGGCTTGTTCAGGGGTATCCCAGGCTCTGGAGGTTCCAGGCCCCACACCTGCACCCAGTCGTGGTCCAGCCTCTGAACATATCCCCTTGCAATTGAGGTGTCCAGATCTAGGACGGAGTGGGCAGCTGGGGACCTGCTTCAAGGTCTGTGTTCCACAGGGTGGCGGGGACCTCCCTGCACCCCACCACATGCCCCTTTGGCCTCTGGGCCAAGCATTGAGGCCCGGCATGGGGCCCAGGCAGGCAAGAGCATTGCTTCCCAGTGCTGTCTCGAGGTCTGCTGCAGGCCTCACATGCCTCGGTGCGGGGGTGGTAACTGCCACTTGCTGGGGCGGGTGATGACCAGATGAAAGAGACTGACCTGTGTGGCCTGTTATTAGGGCAACTGTGTGGACCTCAGTGCTCTGGGAGTGTTGGTGGAGCAGCCTTGTGACCAGGCCGGGCCGTGTGTGCTGGGCTTGGTGGCACCTCTGGGGCCTCTCCTGGAAGCCTGGCCTTCTGGCGTCCTGGGGAGACCCTGGACACCTGAGTGCTGGTGGCTGATCTGGGAGCCTGCAGCCATGTGGTGAGGGGCCCTCCTTTCCAGGGCAGGGGGCCCGCCTCCTTCCCACGTGCCTTGCAACAGGTGGCTTAGACTCTGTCCCCAACAACAGTGGAGACAGATGAGGAAATGAACCTTGGAGGGCGGGTGGCAGGCCCTGATCACACAGTTGGTGAGGACAGGACCAGATGGTGTCATTGTGTCCTGGCCTTTGCTCCCGGGAGTTGGGGTCTAATGTGGCCTCTGGGTAGGGTAGTGATATTTGAGCTCCCCATGCCATGGGACCAACAGCCGCCCGTGTGGGCGATGGCAGGGTTCATGCAGCATGGGGGTGTGGCAGCCCACTCATTCTCCTGAGGGGCGCTGAAGACCCCAGAGGGAGGCCTGGGTCCCAGGGTGTTGTCACTCCCCACCCAGGAGGCCGATGCTATGCGGGACGCCCTGATGCCCAGCCTGGCCTGTGCTGCGGCCCACATTGGTGACCTGGAGGCTCTGCGGTTGCTTATAGAGCTGGTGAGCTGCCCCACCCTCAGGGTCCAGCCCTGGCCATGCCAGGGCTCTCATGGGCAGGACAGCCTCTCAGCCCTGCCAGCTGGCAGGGCCTCACCCTGGTTTCGGGGTGCACCTTCCCTGTGGCCTACCTCAGGGGGTCACATGCCCTTTCCTCATCCCAGGGCAGTGACCTGAACCTGGATAACTTTAACGGTCAAACCCCATTGCATGCGGCTGCCCGGGGGGGCCATGCTGGGGCGGTCACCATGCTGTTGCAGAGAGGTGTGGATGTGAACACCCGGGACCAGGATGGCCTCAGCCCACTGCTGCTGGCAGTGAAGGGCAGGTAGGAGGAGCCGCAGGCTGCACAGAGTCTCCTTGGGCAGGCTGGGCACAGAGATGGCGATTTCCTATGGTCCCATGCCTTCCCTGGGCAGAAATGAGAGAAGCTGAGGACACCTGGCTCCTAGAGCCATGCCTTCCTGGCCTGGGTCCCAGGTGGGAGCAGCAGCCATATGAATGTGAACAGGACTGGAGAGAGTGGCCTGGCTCTGGGCAGGGTGGCCAGGGGTAGTTTGTGAAGAAGATGACCTCTAGGTTGAGTTGAGTGGGCCCGGTAAGACACCAGAACTGAGTTTCCAGAAAAGAAAGGTGCCAGGGACAGAGCATGAGGGGACTTTGATGCTCCCTGTGGGGCTGGGCTGGGGATGAGGCAGGCCTGGGGTTGTGTGGTTTCAGGGTCCCCACCCAGCCCCAGCCAATGTGCTCTGGGTTCTCAAAGGCAGGGCCCAGCCTGGGCAGGTGTGTGTGTGTGTGTGTGTGTGTGTGTGTGTGTGTGTGTGTGTGTGTGTGTGTGTGTGTGTGTGTAGGTCTGCCTTGCCAAGGTGGAGACCCAAAGACCCTGGGCCAGCCAAGGTGGGGCACATGTATGTGGTGGGCGTAAGAGGACTGGTCACCTTCAAAAAGGGTTGGGAGACACTGGTCACTGGGCAGAGAGGCAGCGGGACCACCGGTCCTGTGGCCAGGGCCATAGGATGGGGTACCTGTAGGCTTCTTCCTGGGCTTCTGCACCCTGAGCCTCAGTTTCCCCACCTGACCCGGGCACGAGTGTGCTTGTGTGTGTGCTTGTGCATTTCCCCTTGTAGGGGTGGCCTGTGAGGAGTCCTGTTGAAGAAAAAGACCTGTAATTGGGTGGCCACCCAAGGGAGCTGGAGACCCTGACCCGGGACCCAGCAGACTTTGCCTTCCCACCTCCCAGCCCCAGCCCCGGACCCTCTCCCTGGAGTGACCCAGGTGGGTGCAGGGCCTGGGCCGTCAGCCACTGAGGCTGGAGCAACAAGGTTGGGCCGAGTGTCTTCTCCTGAGGGTGGGTGTCTCCTTTCCCTTGGGAGGCCCGGCCTGGAAATGGGGCCATCACATACCCACTTCCTGCATCTCTCCCAGGGTCAGGCCTGGCCTGCATGAATGACAGTCAGAACTCCGAGGGGGTGGGAGAGGTGGCCATGAGGGCGGGCAGGCCCTGTGCCCCTTCTGGGGGCCTCACATTCCCATGAAGCACCGCCTTCCTGCCCCAGGCCTAGCAGCTTGAGACCTGGCTATTCCTCAGGGGTGTCTCAGGGCTGTCCTGCCCTGAGTTATTTTGGGGGGCTGCTGACGAGTCCCATGGAGTGACCCCAGGAGTGTCGCAGCCCTAGCTCACCATACTGATGTGGCTAGTCCTGGGTCCCCTCCCCAAAAGGGAGCCCTAGAGTGGGTGCATAGCACTTTGAGAAGGGGGCATTAGGAGGAGGGTGTTCTTTCTAGGCTCCTCGGAGTGTTGAGGGTGTCTCAGAATGGGCCTGGTGGGTGGATGGGTGGGTGAGAGGCTGTAGGTGTGCCCTGGCACCCAGGCTAGGGTGCTCTGGGCTGGAGACTCCAGCCTGGGCGGCCTTGGGCGTGGGTGGGTCGCGCTGAGATGAGCTCACACAGGCATGCCCCCCTTCCCTCCCGGCTCACTGCACACCCCAAACTGGTCTCCCAGCCTTGTTCCCCACCAAGCTCCCTGGGGCTGCCCATCTGGTCCTGCCTGGGACCACGGGGGAGCTCTGCTGAGGGGTACGGGGAGGCCTGGGGGCACACTCACTCCGTGGCTAAAGAGTGGGGTGACTGTGATTTATGGCGCCGTAAGGGCGGGGCACAGTCACCCCCATGGCACTGAGCTGTGTGGCTGCCTTGCTGGAGCCTGCCCCTGCCCTGCCCTATCCCCAGCAGACGGCTCATTGGCTTGGCTTGGGTGATGCTGCCTCTGGAAACTGCCCTCAGCCCCCAGCCCTGGCCCCTGGCCTGCCTGACTCCACAGTTGCCATGTGTCTGCCAGGGCCTCATCCCACCCTACCCCAAGGGCTGTTGGGCCTGATGGGTTCTGTGTCCCCAAAGCCTTGAATCTGGCCAGAAGGCCCTTCGTGATCTGTGATCAGTGCTTGGGGGTGCAGTGGGGTTGATCGGCCTGGTGTGGGGCTGGCCCACATCTTCCAACCGTGGAGCCAGTGCAGAGAACACCTCAGAGCTGACCCCTGCACACCCGAGGTGTCTTGGGAGGGGGCCCTGGACAAGTGGTGGGACTCAGATGGCGGCATCGCCTGGGCCTGGGCAGAGGGTTGGGGGTTCGGCCCTGGCCTGGAGCCAGGGCTGTGGAGTCTCGGACGGACAAGCCTTGGTCCCTGTGGCGGGGCCGATAGTCAGTGTGCCCCTTCTTTGGTAGGCATCGGGGCATCATTGGGCTGCTGCGGGCAGCCGGAGCCTGCCTGTCCCCCCAGGAGCTGGAGGACACAGGGACAGAGCTGTGCAGGTGAGGGGACAGGGCAACGTGTGTGGGGGCCTCGGAGGAATGAGAGCCCATCCTGCACTCTGTGTGCATCAGCTCGGCTGACAGGAGGAAGTGTCTGCGCAGACTATGTTTGGGGGGATTCCCAGTGGACAGCACAGTCCAGCAAGGGTGTGTGTGTGCATGTGTATGTGGATATGCATGTTCGTTTGTGTGTGTATGCATGTGTGGTGGGCTGGAGGAGGGGCCGGAGGGTGAGTGGGAGAGGGGCCGGGAAGTGGGCTGGGCATGGTTGTAGCCGGAGCTGCATTTGGGAAGGTGGGGGTGGGCGGGGAGGAGGGGAGCTGACTGCCTGGCAGGGTGTCCCCCAGGTCCCTCACGTCCACGAGTGGGATGAGTGCCCACGTGGCCCCTGTCCTGACATAAGCTGGTTGCAGGCCCAGCACCCACCTACCCGGCTTCCTAGCAGCCACCGGCCAGTGTGCCTTCTGACTTCATGGCTGCCAGAGTGACCACCGTTTTGTTTTGGGGGAGACTGAGGCACAAGGAAGCTCCTGGTGAGGGTGTGGTGGGGCCCGGTGGAGGGCAGGCTGGGGCTGCAGAGCTCAGCTCCCTGCTCTGCCCCCAGTGGCCAGGATCATTGCCCCCTTCCCCTCCCCCACCCTATGCCTCGAGACTTGGTGCCGCCTCCTGTGCCTAGCCTGGGCTGCCTACAGGTGGGACGGGTTCCAAGACCACTAGAGACCCAAAAGGGAGAAGCAGAGGCAGAGGCTGAGGAAGACCGGGGCCACTGTGCTGCAAGTGGCTGGGCCAGTGTCTCTGTAAGCCAGGGGCCCCAGGCCTGGGGGGGAGGGGTGGGCTGGGGTGCCTACCCATCTGGGGAGGACCCAGAGCTGGCCCCTGCCCCATCCCCATGCCTTGGCATCCTCAAGGCCCCCTGGCCTGGGGATGGGGGATGGGGGAGGTGGGAAATCCCCCTGGCCCCAGTCTCAGCCACTCCTGTCCTGATCTTCAATGTCCAGGAGACATACGTGTTGCTCTCTGGTCCAGTCCCTGCCCTTGCCAGTGATTAGGGGCACCAGGCGGGTTCTGGTGGGCACAGGAGGGAGGGGCTTGTGCTGAACCTTGGGGACTGCCCACACCCACTGGTCTTGGCTGTGAAGGGACTTCTGGGGGACTTGACCCAGGGCCACACCTCAAGAAGGCCTTCTTGGCTCCACCGACAGATGGGAAAACTGAGGCAGCAGTCAGATCACATGGGAGATGGGACTAGACCCCTCTGGGACTCTGCTTGGAAAGGGGCTTGGCCAAGCCGGGCTGCTTGGCTAGACTTGAGGTGTGGGAGAGAGGGACCCTCTGGGCCTTCCTCGGGGCCTTGTCTCTCCAGGCCAGCCCTCGTGGGGGGCATGGGGGTGGGCCCAGGAGGGACCCATGAAGTTATCCAGTGTGATTCACCCCTGAAATTACCCACTGCCACAGTGGGACTGCTGCTGCTGTTTCCTGTTTAGAAGCAGAGTCACTGGGGGCCTTCTGGAGGAGGGGTGGACCCTCCCCCAGGCCACATGCCTCCTAGCACACCTGGAGGGTCCTGAGGCCTCTCAGGATGGGGGCTGGGCTCTTCCCGGGAGGGGTGGCAGGGTGATGGGGACCCGGTAAGGACCAGACAAGTGCTCCCCACACCCCTTCTCCAGGGCAGGTGGGTCCAGAGTGCCCCCCAGCCAGGACCCCACCCCGTGCAGCCTGCTGGGATCCAGGACCAACCCCCTACCCCTGGCACCTCCTGTGTCTCCCTCTCCGCCTCCACAGACCCCGCCCCAAGGAGAGCGATGTTGTGAAATATGAAACTGGCAAGGGGCACTCAGCAGGTGGGGGGGGTGTGTGTATATGTGTGCATGTGTGTGTGCCTGTGTGTGTGTGTGCGCGCGCGTGCGCGCGTGTGCACGCCCTTGACCTGAGTCACAGTCACACCCACTGGGTGAAACCAGACTCCAGGCCGCCTGCTGGCCCCCAGTGACTCCTGCCCCAGGGCGGGCTGCTGCTGGGTCAGCTGTTTGGGGCTGGCTTTGTAAGAGTGCCCAGGGCATCTAGGGGGTGGGGGAACAGGGGGCCAGATGAATGGTGTCCAGCAGGCCCTGACAACCTCCCTCCGTCCTGCCCCAGGCTTGCATCCAGAGCAGACAGTGAAGGCCTGCAGGCGTGGTGGCAGGCGGGGGCCGACCTGGGGCAGCCGGGCTATGACGGGCACAGCGCCCTGCACGTCGTGAGTGCCCCCACCCCCCCGGCGCCCTCTTGGAAGGCTGCCACCTTCAGGAAGGCTGCCCCGACAGTTCCACAAGCCCCCCTGCCTCTGCCTACCCCGCAAATGCCCATCTCCCAGGAGCAGAAAATGCCTGGCTCTCCTGGTGCCAGACCAAGCTGACCCCTTCTCCGGGAGCTGTCCTGGTGCAGGACCACAGGCAGCTGTCCCCTTCCCTGGGATCTGTGGGGACCAGGAGAAGGGAGAGCCCCTGGGACCCTGTGTGTCTGGGCAGGAGGAGGGGAGGGTGTCCTGGGGGACCTGGGTCGTTTGGCCTAGGCTTCCGGCCAATGCCCCTGAGGCAGCCCCTCCCCTGTGCCCCCCACAGGCAGAGGCAGCTGGCAACCTGGACGTGGTGGCCCTCCTACAGAGCCTTGAAGGTAGTGTTAGTGCCCAGGACCCAGGCCCAGTAAGTTCCCGCCCTGGGCAGAACTGACCTCCTCTCCACAGGCCCTTATGAGCTCCTAGCCCCGTGGCTGGATCCTGGCTCGGGGAATGTATCCCCAAGTGCCGTTTCTGGGGATGGAGCCCTGGGAGGCTGAGGTGGGTCAAAGCCAGTCCTGGGCCAGCCGATCCTTTCCTGTGGCTTCTGGGGGTGAGAGGGAGACGGGAGCAGGCAGCGACAGCTTCCTGAAGGAAAGGCTGACTCAGACCTCCTTCATTCTGTCTAGTGGGCTGCCCCGTGATGGGCCAGACCCCAGCATGGAGGGCTCCAGATGCCTACACCGCACGCCCAGCCCACCGGGACCACGGGGCTGCGTGCTTCCACCTGCCTCCCAGGCTGGGCCCCAGGGGTCGCCCCCACTCCCCACTCCGGTGTCTGGCCCTCCTATGTAGTCTCAAAGCTGGCTGGGTTGGCCCAGGCCCTGGGGCTGGGCCCCACACACAGGGTGCCTGGGCTTGCCTCTCTGCCTTGCCTTTATCACTACCTGGGCCTCTACGTGTTCTCGGGAGACCTCATATTTTCAGGAAGTGCTGCCTGGCGTCTAACTTGAAGTTGTCCAGCTGTAGTGCAAGCCATTCCTTCCTGTTGGGACCTGCTGGCGCAATCTCAGGCACCCCGCCCCCGGCTCTCTCACCGGGATGCACCCCCACTGCTGGGACTGCTTCCTGTCTGTTTCAGGCAAAGCCCAAAGGTCTTTATTGGGCAGAATGGCAATAAAGTTGCTCTGGGGACTGCTGCCTCCCCAGGTCCCCAAAGCCTGGCTCTGAATGGGTCTGTCTGGGACTGTGGGTATGCGTGTGGGCAATCAGACTCCAGGTTCTGGGGCAGAAGGCCATGTCTGCAGCACCCTGGGGGTGAGAGGGACACTTAGCCAATCCTTCCTCAGGCTGCTGAGTGTGTGAGCCAGGCCAGGCGCCGGTGGGGATGGCGGTGGGGGTGGGGGAGGCAAACTGCCCTCCTTTCCAGCTGCCCCTCCCCCCTCCCTGCATTCCTCAGGCTGTTCCCTCCTCCAGACAACCTCTGTCCACCCCCTCACATCCTACTCCTACTTGGGAGCTTGAAGCCACCTGCTCTAGGCAGCCCACCACCCGATCTGGACGCACACACTGCCCCTGCTTGATTCCCTGGACTATGTAATTCTCTGGACTGCCCCTTCCCGATTGCTGTCTGGTTTTCCATCACCCCGGTCTTCCCCTACCCATCCCCATCACAGGCCAGGGACAGGCCAGGGCTCCAGAGGGGCTGAGGAAACCCGTGGACATCAAGGGGGATTTTGCAGCCTGGCGATGAGCCCCTTGAAGGCTCTATTCCAGGCCCCGCTCAGCCTGGAGCCCCTGATTCGGCACTCAGGCCCCCTCCAGGGGAGGCAGGGAAGGGTGGTCTGTGCTGGCCCTGGCTGTGCCAACGTAGGTGGGCCCGGCCATGGGCAAATATGCCTGTGGGCAGGTGTGCCCGTGGGCAGGAAAGTTGGGCCTGTGGCACTTCGAGGTCAAGGGCGGCCACAGGACTTGCTCAAGGCCCAGCTGGGGCTGAGATCGGCTGTTTGGACCCCTGGCTGGTTCTGGGCCCAAACTTTAAGCAGCTCAGCGGAGCAGGGCATGCCCGGGCACAGGCCCCAGCATGTGGGCACTGGCCTGAGGTGGTCAGGGACTCCCCCTGGCCCAAACAGTTGCTGGCCTCTCCTTGCAGGGTGTGAGGCGTGTGGGGGCTGCCTCCCTCCTGGCCCTCTACCTACCACATGAGGACTCCTGTCTGCCAGTCTGTCTGTCTGGGGGCTGAGAGGGTGGGGCCCAGCCTGAGGGCATGCACCCTGCAGACACTGGGCAAAAGCGTGACCCTAGAGATGGCACAGGCACCCAGGGCTCCTCAGCCTGCTTCCCAGGCCTGGCTGGCACCGCCTCGCCCAGACACAGGTGTGCCTGGGCCTTACACAACTGGGTGACGCCACACGAGCATGGTAGGGCCGGCAAAGCCTGTGCCCCACACCCTGATGGAGGCCCCCTGGGGGTGCAGGCAGGGAGGGGTCAGGGGGCCAGGAGCCAGGAGCCTGGTAGTCACAGGAGGACTGGCACCCTCAGAGGGCATCGAGGAGGCGGTGGGGCAACTGTCCTGTGAGGTAGGGGGCGTGAGGCCACCTCCAGGGTCCTCAGCTGATCCCACCCTGGCCTTGGTGCCCTGCACACAACAGCCTTCTGGTAGCTCCCCTCCCCTGCCACAGCTCCCAAGGGGCCGGCAGGGCCTGTCGCTCACACCACCCCCCACCCTGCACTCCCCAGGCCCTGGGAGCCCCAGATTGTGAAAGCCACAGGTGGCTCATGTTACCCCACATGGCAGCACCCTCCCAGAGCAGGTGCCAACCTGCCAGTGTAGAAACGCCCACGTCTCCTAGTGTCCCGTGGAGAGCACTTGCTGAACTGGCTCAACCCCAAGTGGGTCACTGACTGAGTTTGGTAGAGACGGCTCAGGGGTGATGGGTTGGGGGAGAGGCTCCAGCAACTGGGCAGATAGCAGGGGGCTCCCCACAAGGCTGGGCGGCCAGACCCCAGGCTTGGGCCTTTTCACATGGGTAGGGCAGCATCTCAGAAGGCTGAGCAGAGTTGCAGGCCCATGTCTGGAAGGTTTCTCTGGGCCCTTCTGTGCCCCTTGGGGAGAGGTCAGGCTGGCCTTGGGTCAGGGATCTCCCCTGAGAGCCACTGTGAAGTGGTGGGGGACAGAACAGGGCTTCTCTCTGGCTCCCTCAGTTCTGGCTGGGCAGTGACTTGCCTCCCAGGGCATCCGACTCCTGTGTGTGGACCAGGAGTCGCCTGGACAGAGAGCAGCCACATGTGGGCGTGCTTGGTCCCCTCATGCCTCTCGGTCGTGCTGGGTCCACATCCCTTCTACGTTACCGCGAAGAAACCAAGGCACAGGACCATCTATCCTGTGCCAGGGCTGTGCATTGGCATGTGGGTGGGACAGGCTGTGAGTCGCCGGGCACCAGAGCCAGCCTCCTTCACTTGTGCTGTGGTGTGAGGCCGGGTGAGACGCAGGACGGGCACAGCCAGGGGCCCCACGCACATGGGAGGCACCGGAGCCCACAGGACCAGGGGGAGCAGACTCCCCACAGCAGGCAGTGCCGCACCAGATAATTTTGCACTGGGGGAGGTCTGGGCTCCCACGGCCTGTCTTGAGTCACCCGATGCCAGGGTTGTCCTGGGATGCGTCTCCCTTCATGTGGCCAAGATGGAGATTTCCCAGTGATTTCTATCTAACATTTGGCTCCCTCCCCAGCTGTGGGTATCGAGACTTCTCTTGCATGCTAGGAGGCTCCCCTCCTGGTCACACCTCAGTGTTTTCTGCTACAAGTGAAAACCACCCTCTCTTGTCACCCTCTCTTCCCATCTCCTGTCAGTCCCTTCTGACAGTGAGCTGCCTTTGTTAGGGAAGGACAGTCCACCTAGGCCCAGGTGTGTGGGGAGGGTCTACCTGGCCTGGGCTCTACCAGGGCTTGGAATTCAGAGCAGGAGTGGTGGCTTCTTCCGGTGAGTTAGAAGAGAAAGCCCCAAGCTCCTCTGCTTGGCCCCAAGTGTCCCCACCTACCCCTACGCACCCCCATGCAGCACCCCCAGGCTACACACACACACACACACACACACACACACACACACTCAGACCTACAGACTAAGAGCCACCAAAGCCTGCAGACCCTTCTCTACCACCAGGAGCTGTGCAACCCCTGAGGAGTTGCTACAAAATGGAAATAATAAAACCGTCAGGTTGGCTCCCAGCACTTTGGGAGGCTGAGGCAAGTGGATTGCCTGAGCCTGTGGGTTTGAGACCAGCCTGGGCACCTTGGCGAGACCTCATCTCTACAATAAGTCAAAAATTAGCCCGGTGTGGTAGCGTGTGCCTGTAGTTCTGGCTACTCGGAAGGCTGAGGCGGAAGGATCACTGGAGCCCAGCAGGTGGACACTGGGGCGGCTGCTGGCTGCGAATGTGCCACTGCGCTCTGGCCTGGGCGACTGAGTGAGACTGTTAACTGAAAACAAACAAAGCAACAACAACAACAAACCTTTACCCTTCCCTTTCCGGGGTGGCTGCCGTCGCTAAGCTACACATGACATAGGGGTCCCAGTTTGGTGGCTGTGTCCTGGCCTGAGGCCAAGATGGGCCCTGAGCACAGAGGACACGGGCCTACCGCACTGGAGTGAACTATGACCCCCCCGGCCGCCCAATCCCCGGCCGGCACCCC